GATCGATCCCGCCAACCCAGTCCCCAACCCCATGCTGCAGCACGTTCCTCGCCCTCAGCCTGCTCCCGCCCACGTGTCCCACCGACCCGTGCAGCGTCGCCCTCTCCCTCCCGCAGTCATACACCCCCCTGTGCAGGATGTTGTTGTTATAAAACACGATATCCCCCGGCTCCAGCCTCACCACCAGCTGTCCCGGCAACGCCCTCTCAAACGGCCCCGCCGCCCGCTCCGCCTCCGTCCGCGCGCGCGCATGCGACCCCGGCACCACAACGAGCGACTCGTCCTCCCACAGCGCGAGGTTGTACTGCGCGTGGAACGCAGGCCTCCCCAGCCTCTCCAGCTCCTCCTCCGCCGACGCCTCCGCGGGGATGTCGTCGCGGTGCCAGCGCAGCTCGAAGTCACCCTTGTCCGGCCGCACGAGCATGTTGAACAGCTCCATCACCAGCTCGTCGTCCTTGCATTCCAACAGCTCCTTGACGATGCCCAGGATCTCCTCGGAGAAGTACAGCGCCGCAAAGGCCGCGTGGCCCGGCAGCTGCGGGTGCATCAGGTGCTGCACGCCCCAGATGCCGTGCGACGGGGCGTCTGCCGGGTCCCAGGGCGGGAACTGCTTGCCTATGGTGCGGACGTGCGGCCATTTGCCGGCGCGGGCGAGGCTCGCTGCCTCGAGGCTTGCGGCGCGGAGGAGGGACAGCTGGGAGGGGGCGAGGATGGATTTGACGACGACGAAGCCGTTGGCTTGGAGCTGGGAGAGCTTCGGGGAGGAGGAGGAGGAGGAGGAGGAGGAGGTTTGTGCTGACATGGTGGCCTTTGTGGGTTTGGGTGTTTAGGTATGTTTATTGGGAAGTTGAGATATGGTCGGTGTAGTTGAGGATAAGGGTAAGGCGATGATGTGAGAGAGTTTGGATGGTTGCTGTTGTCATGTGTCTAACAAGATGATGGAGCAGCCTTATATCAACTGAATGCGGGGCTGGGTAACATAGAAGCTCTGGAGGATCGAATGCATGTCGAAAACTAGTTTCCGCTATAACTGATAGTCAAGCTCATCTGCATCTCCAGCAATGACGGAACAATCTGCAGGTGAGGTGTAAACCAGCAATACCTTAAAGCTCCGATACAAGCCGAACCGAGGCCCACGGAATCACAAGTTGGCTCAGTACAATATCAAGTTCAGGTAGCACCAAAAGCAAGTCGTCTCATGATTCGACTTGGTAACCCAATAGATCAATCATCACTGTTCGCTACTTATTTCTAAACTCCCATCGTTTTTCGTGTAGAAGGCAAATGCAACGTACCATCCAACCGCCCCAGAAAAAAAAGATCCATTTCGTCTGCCCACACCCCATCATCATCACCATCAAACTCAGACACTTTCCGGCCACCGCACGACGAACCCCTTGACCGTCTTCTGCACATCCAAATCGCCCGGATCATTCTCAAACAGCGGCTTCTCCAGCTTCTTCTCCAAAACCTGCTCCACCTCAAACCCAGCCTCTCGCGCCACGTCGAAGAAGCCCATGTCCAGGTCCTTCTTCCACGGCCGGTACGAGGTGAAGAAGACGTACGCCGCGCTCGCCTGCGACACCTTCATTGTCTCCCGAATCGTCTTGACCAGGGCGCCGTGCTCCGAGTGCCGAAACAGCAGGTCCGCGAGAATCAAGACGTCGAAGCGCTCCTCTGTCGTCGCAGTAGCACTTGAGCCATTCTCGCCAGATGAAAGACGGGCAAGGAGAGGCGCCGGGTCTCCTCCCCAGACAAATCCAGTCGCATCAATCGTCTTGGCAATATGCCCCTTTGGTTCCGTTGTCTCGTCGCACTCGTCAATGTTCTTCTGCATGTTCATGACGAGATCCGGATCCGGGAAATCGGTCATGACGACCTTCTTCGCACCCAGGATGCCAGCCACCAGCGACGGGAGTCCCGACGCGGCCCCGAGCTCCAGCACACTCTTGCCCCGTACCCGCGCAGGGTCCTCCTCGAAGTAGTCTGATATGATCTTTGCGCCGTTCCACAGGTGATGCGCCTCCGTAGGGCTGTGGCCAACCAGGTGTAGAACAATCTCCTTGCCGCTTCCCATGGTGAAGATTTGCGTCGTCGGGGGAGGCGTGGAGGGGTAGTAATCCTCGGGGTCATCCATCAGGCCCCCGGTGCCGTAGTCGTCGCCTTCTTCCATGTTGACAGAGTGAAGATTCTCAGTCGTTGCTGAGACGTAGTAGACAGAATGAGCAGTCTCAAAATCGGGATGAACCAGGCGGCTGACTGTGAGCCAAGTTCCAGCTGCTGCAGGCAATAAGCCGAGATATTCTTCTTTTTTTCGTGTACCGCAGTATTCCTTGCTGTTCTCACGGTAACCTAAAGTACCGAATCCGTGTTGCGAATTGTGAGCGCATCAATCTTGAACCTGATCGATCCGAGTGCCTCTCATTTTTTTGGTGTTGTGTGGGGTGAGTTTTGCAAGCGGCGCCCTCACAGTGTGAGATCCCACCCAAATATCTCACGGCTCAGCCTCATGCCATTCGTTGTTCCGCCGTGTGAGAAGTCGCAAGAATCCTAATTTCTCGGAGTGCCACAGCCACAAATCAAGGGAGTATTCCTTTGATCAAAGTCAATCATAGGAAATGAATAGCAGTGCCGGGCATCGTCGCCATTGATGACATCCCATCGCTCAAGCTCCCCCAAACCGCTGTCTGGCCAACTCCCTCAGCATGCTCACCGTCCGGTCCTCCTTCTCCTGCCACGCCCTCCTCTTGGCCTCAATCTCCTCCCTCCTCGCCCGCTCCATCTCCTCCCGCCGAATCTCCCGCTCCGACTTGCGCCGCTGCTCCCTCTCCTTGGCCTTCTTGTACTCCTCCAGGCTGTCGCCGCCGCCCATCAGCTCGCTGTCGCGCACCTCCCCGCCGGGGCTCTTTTCCCGAAACTGCCGCATCTTGTCGTTGACCTCTTGCCGCTTCTCCAGCTTGCGCTCGCGCGTGCCAGTCTCGGCGCGGGGCACCAGCTCCTCCAGGCGTTCCTTTTGTAGCTTGCGGTCGGCCTTGCGGGCTGCTCGTAGTCCCTCCCGGTCCGCCTCTTGCGATTCCTCCACAAGCTCATCTCGTAGAGCAAGATCTTCCTTGTTCGGAATCCCAACGCCAGCCCGGCGACTTCCACCCGACATCCCGGGAAGGACAGGGCCGTAGTCTTCGTCCTCGCTGTCGTCGCCACCGCTGTCAGAACGGTCGTCTTCCAATGACGCATTTCGTGGAGGGTGCTGCTGCTGCTGCTGCTGTCCCTCGTCTCCTTCATGCTGCGGAAACCGCGCAAGTATCCGCTGGAACATCTCAGGATCATACCACCCCTCTGCCAGCTCCCCCCGATTCCACTTCCCCACGAAGCTCTTCCACCGGCCGCGAACCTCCCGCTCGTCCATGTCCGCAATGTCGCGCTGCTTCTGCAGGCTCAGGTACTCCCCAAACAGCGGCTCAAACGCCTTCAAGTCGTCCTTTGAGAGGTGCCGCGCCCCGTAGGGCAGCTCTGCGGCGATGGGCTTCTCTGTACGACTCGACGAGTGGTGGCGATGGTGGTGATGGTGGTGGTATCCTTCAGCCGAGCGGCGTCGCTTCTTATGCTCCCTTTCCCTGTCCCTGTCCCGGTCTTTGTCTCTGTCTCTGTCTCCGGGAGACGCTCCTCTTTTCCTGCGGTCAGACGAGTGTCTGTGCGGGCTTCCATCTGGCGAGAGGGATCTCTTGTCGCGGTGGCGCCGTGGCCGCTCTTCGTGGCGTGAAGAGCCATGACGGCGCGAATCGTCGCCCTCGCGCGTTGAAAACCTGGATTCTCGTGAGGACTGAGGCATGATGGCGAGCCCTTGGACGTCTGAAGCAAAGAATTAGGAGAAATAATTAAGCAATGGTCATGAGCAATAGAGCAAGAGCAATTTGAGATGTGGTATCAAAGAAGCGAGGAGAAGCGCTTGGAATGATCACGCTCGATGTGATGTTGTAAGCTTGCAAGCTGATGATAAACTGAGGTGAGTGAAACAAGAGGGAAAGCTACAGTGAGGCTTGACCATATTCAGCTGTCTCGTAGCAAACACAGTGCGCCCCACACTTTCCATCAGCCTCCCCGGCGTTCCTTGCATTGGAATTGGATCGCTTCTGCAACTTCAGATGGTCCAGTTGACGATGCAGTTCGTAGGGGGCTTCCCACGCAGCGAAAACATGGATTACTTTAAGTAATGCCTGAGAACATTTGCAATAGGTAGTTTGTAAGGTAGTTGCAGAGGAGATGTATCTTGAATTCTAGGCACACAGATATGAGGTGTAGTTGTGCAGCCATCAAAGGTCCCTTTTATCGCTATAGTAGGTCCGTATGTGCACCTACACGATCGAGGAATGGGTATAGGAGGTGTCTAATGGAACTATCTATGTACAGGTAGGTATATAAGCGATCAAGGATGGAGTTGGACCTGCAAACGACCCAGCATCATCCTTGACTCATGTGATGTCTGGGCCTCGGCGTTTTCTCTCGCAGATTCAGACAAACTGCCATCAGGTACTTCCAAACTCGGCCGGAGCCGGGGAGATGTTGTGTATCGAACAGCCGATACACGAACAGTCGTCTCCGCAGGGACATTTGGCCTTCTCTCCTTCACATAAGTCGCCAAAAGGGTAGCTCACAAAGAAAAAGTCGCTCGCCGACAAAGCTGCCTCTTCCCCCAGAACCGAGTTGCTCTCTGACGGCGTCTGCGCCATTGTGGGTGACACGAGGCCTTCCACCTGGCCCCCGGTGGGCGTCGAGCCGCCGTTGGGCGACTGGTTTGCAGGCGTGGGCGTCCCGTTGTTACCGATGAGGGGGCTATGAGTGCTGTCAGAGTGCCTGTGACCCTTGGGAGCATCCTCTTGCATGCTGTTCCAGGCAGATCGGACGTAATCTTGCGTGGCCTGGTTGTACGGGTGTGTGGCACAACCAATGCACTCGCACGAGTCCCCGCAGCCGCACTGGTGAGACGTCCAGGGCGCCTCTAGGCCGTTGTTTTGCGGAAACTGTACTTGGGCCGTCTCATCATACGGCGCGTCTTGCATATTCGTCATCGGGTGCGTAAAGTGCATCGTCGCCATCAGCTGTCTCCATTGATCCGGCTGCAGGGGCTGTTGAAAGGAGCCATACTGCGGCGGGTATGCGAATACGCCGGGTTGGGCAAAGTAGGGAAGCGGGACATTTGGCATGTTCATCTGTGCATTGAACTGAGGCATTATCAGACCATTAACCGGAGGGCCAACTCCTGGTGTTGATATGCTTCCGCGCGGCTTAATCTCTGTGCCAGATGAGTCGGCATTTGCGAGACTCTGTGCATGCGTGGGAGGAAAGTTCGAGTTCCCGCCGCCACAGCAACTTCCGGCGGCGGGACCTGCGTTCGACTCGTTCGGACGAAGGGACTCGGAGTCGATGTGGCCATTGACGGGAAGTAAACATTCCAATCCCGATTGTAAAGGAAACATGGCCGGGCCAAGGCTGAAAGAGCGACCATTAGAGATGAACCCCATCATCCCTTGGCCCGGGAGAGGAGCGGCGGGTGTCGTGGGCACGGTGCCGTTGGACAGCTGCGAAGGTGAAGGTTTCGACTCGGGAGAAGAGAGTATGTTTAGCTGGCTCGCATCCATCCTCTCCAGTCCTGAGAGGTCAATCTGCTTTTTGCCGGTTCCATTCTTGGAGCTCGTCTTCTGAATGCGATATGTCGTCTTTGGCGCGGGTGCTTTTTGGGACGGGCTCGGAGGCGTCACCAGCCCGTTGGAGGTCTCCTTGTCCTCCTGACCTCCAGGCTTGCAGCCGGACGGCTTGTCCGAAGTCTCGCAGCGGCGGCACTTTTGTTTCCTGGGAAAGGCAGCCGTGACGGCAGCGCAGCCGCAGGGCTGCGCGGAGGGATGCGGACATGAGCTGAGAGGTCGTCCGGGCTTGCGCACGGGGACCATGAGCCGCTCACTGGCGTGCGTGCATTTGGTGGAGCGATGGCCTCGGATGCACGGCTCGCTACACACGACGATGGGTTAGTTCGCGACGGAGCGGACGAGGGGGGTTGTGACGCATAAGGCCGACCGGCACGGACAAGGCTGAGGCCGCCAGCAACAGGAGCATCATGAGAGGAGCACGTACCAGGCCATCTTCTGGCCGTTGATGAGCGGCATGGCGAGGATGCGACGCGGGACTATGTATGCGGCTAGTATCGCAGAATCGCCAAGTCAGAGCAGCCCGAGCCAATGCCAGGCGCGGCGAGCGACGGCGGTCGACGGGCCGCAGTCGGATGGGATACGGCCTGTGTATCGCAAACGGCGCGCTTCAGCGCTTCCAGCTGAGGCCGCGGAGTCGTAAGCGCAGGACCTGAAGGCACAGCGGCATCCAAAGGCCTCGAATTGGCGAGTAGTCGCTCGGGATCGCAGTGCTCGGTCCTTGGAAGAAGTCGTCGTCTCCGAAATGGTTATTGATGCGAATAGCGAACTTGCCAGCGGATTTGGCGAATGGCGGCGGGGATCAGGCCACCAAATGTCGGTTGCAGTGTTGTTCGATTCCACCAAAGTGTCCCGTCGTCCACGCAGAGACTCCAGCCGTCGGCGATTCAAACGAAAAGAGGGCGAGTCCGCAGTGTTCGAATGCTCAGCCGCCGCAAACGCCGAGTCCGGATTTCCAATCGCATCCACCGGCTACTCGATAGTCATTCCCGGATTGCTCGATCGTCAAACTCGTCGAATCGCAAGAACAAAGGGACGTAGAGAGCAGCGACTTGACGAGAAAATGCAGAAAGATGGTAGTAGAAGTGAGAAAAAAAAGATCACCGAGACCCTTAGCATGGACCAGACGTTAGGCGGCCCAGAGGTGACCCAGACTCCAGAGCTCTTGCGCCCTGGGCTGGCTGACCTTTGCCTCACAGCACGTTCCTTCCCTTCAACACACTCCAGCTTGGTGCGGGGGCGCCTCTTCAGGTCCATGTCAGGTGCAGTTCACTTGACCTCTTTCCTCCAGGGGCCCAACGCCGGATGCCTTTAGCGGCCAGCCTCAGCGACCACAGCGGGTGCATCTACAGATTCAGTGGCCTGCATGCGCTAACCGGGGCGGCGCCAAGGGTGCGCTGGTGAAACGCCGTGCGTCAAACGAAACAACTCGCAGCGAATCTCAGGCCGGGGAGCTCATCCGTCGACGGCAACTTCAATTTCTTCTGCTACTGCATGTGTACGAGCTTCTGATACGAGCAGATGCTTACTCAAGATCTCCGGGCATCTATTTTATCCTCCGTCCCGCTGAGCAGTCAGTCAGTCTGACAGATAAACGAACAAGCTACATGCGACCTGTGCTTACCCGTATAAACAAAACAAATGTCATGCATGCAAGTGGTGAGATCCGTCTCCCAAAAATACATCTACAGTGACGCCGCCTATCCGCTAATACGACCACCTAGACTCTCCGTCTCTTAATACCCGACCCCGAACGAAACCCGCAAAATCATCCTCCTAGAGCGTTGTTGATCCTGAATCCCTTCATGCGACGGGTCAACTTGTCATGGCATTTTCCCCATTCCTCATTTGTCCGTGCGTTTACCTCAACTGATGTCATCAACTCTACCCTTCTGTAAGAACTACCCTTTTGCAAGTTGGTATCTCACATCCGTCTTCCCAACGCACATTCTTCTGCCCGGATTGCATCCCCTTTCGTTGCCGTTGTTCTTTCAAACAAACACCGGCCCTAAGTCCGCCCGCCCTATCACACCCGCCCCCCGAAAGCCCCCGAGCCGCGGAGCCGGGCAACTCCAAAAAAGGCCGGAAGCAAGCCATCTCAAGCACCGAACGAGTTCTTATAGAGTAGCTACGCTTCTTTGATCCCTACCTCGAGTCAACTCATATCAAGAAGAAATCTTCAATTCTATCATTATACTACCTTGATCTCTACTGTACAACTCCTCTCCTACTATAGTACCAGCAGACAACTACCATCAAGCACAACTTAACACCGTCCATCTCCTCCATCCGTTCCAAAAATCCCCCACTAAGCACCAGCAAACCCCCCAAAAGGCACATGTTCGTCCGTCCCGCACCTTGATGAGCAAGTTTCTATTGGCTGTCTCCCGGCACACGCTCCGAGAAGGCGTCGGCCCATCATCTCCTATTCCTACCTCATCAACTCATGTGCCTTGTTCTGGCCACTCTTCCTATCATTCCTCTTTTGCTAACCGCGCGCATGTCTTCTTCTATCCCTTGAATGAGCACGGAGTAATACAAGGCAGACTTCAAGCTCTTTCCCTTCTTTGTATCAGCTGCCTGACTGGGATATGCACTCCGCTGGTTCAGTCGTCAGGTTCTTCCAAGTCTTCTCCAAATGTGCTTGTGTAATCAGAGGTAATAATAGGTGATGAGTATCAGTTCATACATGTCTCTCTCCACATTACCCACGCGTAACGGTAATGGATATACTATCCTGATTGAAGACGGGTATCTGAAAATCCATTGAATAGGCTACTGGTTATATCTGCTTCCTGGATCAAGCCATCATATGGGTCCTGAAAGACTGCAGCCCTTGATCAAGTACGAGGCCCTCAAAAAACATACCTTGACTGCGTAACACCGTTCCTAAGCCCGGGTCTCCTCTTTCTTTCTAAGAGCCATGCTGTCCGTCGCGCATCTTAAATCGTACAATCCCTCTCCATCTTTTCATCGTGACATTTGTCTAGCAGCTGCAAGCTAGTTCTCATCCGAATGGTCCGAATCCGCAAACATATCAGCTGCTCGCATTCGCCGCCGCGGCTGGCTCCGGCCCGCAGAGGGCTGTTCTGCCCGAGCGTCTGTCTCCAGGGCAGTTGATGCATCTGCCGCCTTGGCACCATCAGTGCCCGACCGCATGGCTTCGTTATGTTTGCCTCCCGCGCCTGCGTCTTCATCATCGTCTTCGTCATCATCTTCATCCATAGGCTCCCCGACCACGTCGTCATCTTCCTCAATCGGCTCTCCATCCACATCTTCATCTTCGATGGGCTCACCGTCAACGTCGTCCTCCTCAATAGGCTCGCCTACTACTTCCTCTTCCTCAATCGGCTCGCCTACTACCTCTTCTTCCTCCTGTGCCGGTCTGCCAACCACATCGCCATCCCTGGCTGCATCGTCAGCAGTAGCAGCCTCAGAAGATGTGGCGGCGGCCTGGGTGGCCTCGACAATCTTCCATTTCCCCTTCTTGGCAGATTCGTCTGCCTTTTCTTGCGATTTGAGGGAGGGTGGATTCTCAAAAGCACTCATAAACAGTGCGTGACTCTCCACCGGAAAGACGCACCACCCTTCCCACAAATTCAGCACAAGAGTAACGCTCCGCTTCCATTTTTCGGCGCGTAGGCGACCCCAGCCAAGCTTCTCCGCCATCATCCCCAGCCGTTCAAACACCTTTCTGGAACGCAAGGCTGTCTCGAGAAGTTGCCGATAACGCCACGCATGCCGAACGGTGCTCGTAGAGGATGCCGACAGTATATCACTGACCACGTACAAGCCAACCAGGGTTGCGGCGCTTGCATCAGTATTCTCACTCCCGGCAGCACCCTCATCCGCGCCTGATGTCTGATGCTCTCCCTTGCCTTCTCTTTTCTTCTCCACGTCGGTAACAGCCAAGGAGAATGGCCTCTCCACATTGGATATGATCAAGTCGACAACTTCATCGGCACCGCGGCTGACATGGGTAATGGCAAAGGCTGTGACTCTCGCAATATCCCCCTTGCGAACCTTGCCAATCGTAGTAGGAAGACGGGACAGCAGATGTACGAGCTTTGCTTTCTCCAGTGGGTTGAGAAAGGTCTTCTCCTCATCCACCGTTGGGCCGCCGTCACGGTTCGCATCCCCATCAAAATCTTCATCCTCGGAAGAGTCATATTCCTCGTCCGAAACGAACTCGTCCAGCTTGGTCGTGTATTCGAAGCGAAGCCCTGTGTCTGGCGTTTTCCATGCGTGGCCTCCGTCAAAGAGAGGAACATACTTGCCCTTTTTCTGCTTCAAATGTGAGCCTGTAATCACTCCCCAGAGCATCCATCGATACCACACGCCGCCCTCGCTCCTAGCGTCCCACAACCAAGCCCATCTCTCCTCTCTCTGGACCGAAGCACGAGACATGAGCAGAGCCTCAAATTCAGGCCCATGTTCAAGCACACCTTCAATGACCTTGTTGATTAATCGGATCATTCGAATGTCCCGGGGCGGCTTGACCGGCACGCTCAACAGGTTTGTCCGATTTACAGCCGCTTGTCCGTGGGCGTATGAAGGTGGCGGAGCGAATCCTCTTTGGAATCCGTGGCGTGAATGATCGTGCGCAGCCGAAGGCTCCTGGTCTACCGGTTTGGCACCGAAAGGTTGAGATGTAGAGGCGGATGAGGCCAGCCCCGCCAGCGTAGAGCTGACGGCCGAGGAAAGGTGGCGGTGGAGAGATAGATAGTATCCGTAGCCCATATACTTGTGCTGCAATGAGCTCACCGCGGCATCCATGTCCGTTGCGGGGGTCTCCTTAGACAGGGTCACGATGGCAACCGTGCATTTCCTTTCAGATCCCCCAGGCCCAGCTGGTGGCTGAATCTTGACATTTTCAACCGTCAAGTTAGAAGGTAGTAGTGATTTGATCGTAGCCGGTGAGATACCTGGAGGTAGGTTGGACAGTCGTAGAGTCGGCCTCGCTATGGCCTTCTCCTCCGCTGGGTCGACCACTTCATCATCATCGCTCTTGTCGTCGAACTTGAGCGTCGCCCTGCCCTCCGGCTCCTTGGAGAAGTCGTTGAAGGACCGCTTCTTCGCAAAGGGCACAGGAGGCATTCCCAAGCTCCCCGGTCCGCTCTTCAACGCCGACGACGTGCCAAAGTGTCGCCGCGATGCGCCGCCGGGGCCAGAGGGCGGCAGGCCACCGAGGCCGCCAAACCCGGGTCGCTGATTCCGCTGCGCTGTCGTGCTCTGGTTCGCATCATCGTTGTCGTCGTGGTCGAAGCTCTTGATGAAGTCTTCGTACACCGCGGCCGTCTCCGCAGCCTCGCGCTTGCGCTTGGCCTCGGCCTCGGCCTTTTGCTTCTCGAAGACGGATTGTCTTATGGGTTTCTGGAACTTGGCGTCTAGCCGAAGGGGGTCGGCAGAGTCTTTGGAGGACGACATCGCGCACCGAAATGGAGGATCGAAGATGGACTGCTAGTCCATGATCATGGGGAAATTCTCGAAATCGGTGGGAGTTGTGATTGAATTTGGGGTGAGGCCGTATGCAACGGAAGGTGGTTGAGCTTTAGCTTCCTTCGTAGTGACAGCAGCAGCGCAAGGCCGAGCTGGAACAATGTGAGATGCGTCATGCATTTACTGGTGATTTCACAACCCTTATCAGGCATAACCTCGTTTTCTACATAACCTTCACGCGGACTGACGAAGAAGAAACGAACTTAAACTCATGTGAATTACAGCAAGCACCGGCTCACAAAAAAATCACAAAGCACACAATATTTTCAACTGAGCAATTCTTCCTTTTCACTGTCGGCACCAAAAAGCCGCCTGCAAAAGTTTGCACAAGCTACCAAAGTCACTCAGTCCTTCCCCTGGCTCGCACAAACGAAATTCATTCTTCAGCACGGACACACCGGGACAAAGAGATGACGGCGGCAAATAAACTTGGCCCTCCTCCCCCATCCTCCTCCTTCACCTTGCCGATAGCAGCTCCTCTTGCAATATTAACCCCGGCCGCCCTCCCCTGCTCCCGTCCATCGTCACCAGCCCCTTGAACTTCCCGTCAATCTCTCGCCCTGCCTCGCTCGCCGCCTCCTTCTTCCACTTCCACTTGGCCCCGAGCCTGCCTCCTGTCCCTGCCATACAGTCCACCAGCTTGTCTCCAAGGACGGGCAAAAACTTGTATGCGTGCCCGCTGTCGCCCGTCGCCACGAACAGTCCCTCCCAGCCCGGGTGCCAGTCCGCCAGGAAGTTGCCGTCGCTCGTGTCGGAATACCAGCACAATCTCGTTTCCCTCCACGGCCGCGTGTCCAGCCCTTTGACCGGCGACAGGTCCCTCAGCGCTTGGCGGAGTGCCTCGTCTGCGTCTGCCGGCAGCGCCTTTGCATTCCTGCTGCCGTCGCGCTGCGTCAGCGGTCTCGACACGATAATGGGCCTACGTTCCTCCGAGGGCGAGGGAGGCAGTGCCTTCTCAACGAGCACCGGGTTCAGGTACCCGAATGAGTGGCGCGCAGCCTTGAGGACGCGAGACTGCGGTGGAATGATGAACAATCCAGTGCTGAGATTGAGCACCACCGGCTGCTTGGCCAGCACTTGAAACTCCTCCTCTGAGATGTCGATGTAGCCCAAGGGCTGCGCTGTGGCTTCCACTCGTCCTCTCAGGTCAATCAAGCTCCCCGTCCACGCGCCCGCAGCAACAAAAACAACCTCTGCACTGAGCACCCGAGAGTCGTCCAGCCGCGCGCCAACAACTCTCTTGCCCTCGGTGACGAGCTCTTCCGCCTGGGCATCCACAAAGCTCACTCTGCCAGTGGCCTCGATACGCTCGTACATCCACAACATGCCCTCGCGCGCATTTGCCCATCCAGAAAGTCCATTGACGTATCCCCAATCACCGGGATGCCCGTCCACACCCAGACAGCGCTGCAAGTCTGCGGTGGTTTCCAGCAGCCGGATCTTGTCAGCCTGCCCGCTCTTCCTGGCGATGCGCGATGCGTTCTCCCAGCTGGACCTGGTATATCCCATACCCGACATCTTCGGCCCCGCCGACTCATTCGCCGCAAGCAGCAAGCCAGACTCGGTATACCGTCCCTGCCCACCGAGCTCTTCATCGCCTTGCTTGCGCCATTCCTTCTGCGCGAGCGCTGCCAGCTCGGCATAGTCTGGATCGGCATAGTCAGCTCGAACGATCCTTGACGAGTCCACGCTGGCAGAGTCTCCTGGCGGGAACGATGCGCCACGAGCATCGTCTACAACGGTGATGGCGGTATGCTCGAAGGAGGACCTCTTGGTGAGCGCCCAGGCCGTGGAGAGACCAAACACGCCGGAGCCGATGATGAGGATGGATCGCGGAGGGCGGCTCATCTTTGGAGTCGCTGCTGGAATTGAAGGGTCTTGGGATGATTGTGATGGGCGAAAACCTCGACCTATTCGACTTCTACTCTCCGCGGTATGACTGGATTGATGCCGCCGCTTTCCTATCTTTGCCGAGGGGCTGCGCCTAGGCAGCAGCACTTATCCTGAAGAGGGGTCCTTCAGCTCACGGGAGGGGACGTCCGATCGTCGGGACCGGCTTATCGATCATGCACCGCAACCGCAGACAAGCCCCCACAGAAGTCAACAATAGGTACCGGCGAGGGAACTACGTAGAATCACATCGACACATCGACACAGGTGAGGCAAGTGGGATCATGCGACAGCATGCTGATTAGAGGACAGAATCAAAGCATTTTTGTGATAATGCTAACTGCAAAAGACCAGTTACGACTAGGCTTTTGTCACAGTCGCGCCCTATGCCCAAGGGTCAAAGGGGCATATGCTGCTAATCATATCTCGTCCCGCAAAGGGCGTAAGATGTCCTCATAAAAATCTGTCCAGTTCCACGGCCAGTGGTCATGGGACTGCTTCAACACCACCAACCGGCAAACCGTTTTCCCCCGGCTTGCCCCCTCCCCAGACTCGCCAGCAACTTCCTTCAGTCTAGCTTTTCAACTCGACTTTTCCCTCTTGAAGGCATTAAAGGCCGCAAGGAACCGATAGTAACGGTCCAAGGGCGGCCACGAGCAATCTATGTTGTGTCGCGGGATGGGTAGTCTTTGTTCTTTTTTGCCGTGAACCAGATCCATCGTAAGAAAACGCAAAAGAACCTCTTCCTGGCCTTCCTCCCTTTGCCAACGCCAATGCAATGCAAGCAGAAATCAAATGGTACAAGCGGGCGCGAGGAGACTTGGTTATGGCCTACCAAGACCCTCGGGCGAGCGACGTGCTATGAAAATAGGCGTGGTATCATGACCGTAAAGGTCTAGTCATATACGTCGGTGTTGAAAGGGGGTATTTGTATGTTGGTGGTACACGAGACGAGTGCGTCCATCTCTGACCATGCCCATAAGCGCAATCAGACTTTCCGGAAATCTGTAACAAGTCGGTCAGTACTGCATGTATAGAGTCAAGCCATAGAGCGTAGACAAACCTTGAAGCACAGGGTAGATCATTTCAAAGGCCTGGTAAATCTCCTCTCTGACTTTCGCACCAGTCAAGACGATCTTGCCAGAGACGAAGATGAGCAGCACAATCTTCGGCTTGATCATGCGGTAGATCAGACCCGGGAACAGTTCAGGCTCGTACGAGCTGAAGTTGTGGTGACGAGAGGCAAGACCCTCCAGACGGATGGGGAACTTGATGTCACACGAGCCAACAATGTTCTGAATCTTGAAGTCCGTGAACTTTGCGTTGAAGCCGAGCTTCTGGATGATACGAGCATATTTGCGAGACGCCAGCTTGGAGTCGTCTTCAGACTTGGCACCAGTGACAACCATCTTGCCGGAGGCGAAGATGAGGGCTGTCGTCTTGGGCTCGCGGATACGCATGATGACGGCGGCGAAACGCTGCAAGGCTTGTTAGCACCCTTATGCCAACGCAGGTCCCTGTCTCTGAGCCCATGAGGTATTCACCTTTGGATTGTACTCGGCGTTCCTGGCGTGCAGGGCGATCGTCTTCAAGTCCAATCGGCAGTCGAGATTGACAGTCGCCACGATGTTCCTTTGATTGCGAGATAAGTCTCTAGGAGCATAGCCAAGGCACTCAAGAGTATACATACTGCAAAGTAGGTGTGATACCACTGGGGCCTTGAGAGGCTGCAGGCGTGGCGGCGGGAGTAGCAGGAGTCACCCCGTTCCCAGCAGCGCCTTGCTGACCGTTGGGAGCCATTCGCTGGCTGCCATCGGGGTTCGTTGACGGCGGCGTGAGCTCGTTGGAGGCGCCGGGGAACGACAGCGAACCAGGAGCAGTAAAGGCCTTAGCCTGCGCGGCGTTTGCCGGATGCGTCTGAATGCCCTCCATGATGATCAAGACAGGAGATCAGAAAGCGTGCGTAGCTGCAATCAGAGACTGAGCAGGTCTGCGCAAGAAGACGCTGTTAGCCACTTGTATATCCTGAAAGGCTAGTGATGCATCGTCGAGGCAGCTCAAGAGATGAAGACAAGATAAAAGCAACGGCGATGCAGTGGCTGGTTGGCACAATAGCAGAGCACTGCGCTGCACAGGCCGAAAGCGAGATGAAAGCAAGATGAAGTTGAGCGAGGGGAGGCGAAGTTGGCTTTTTGTTGCCGTAGCTGCGGCAACGCCAGCCATCAAACACGTGTTTGCCGCAATGAGGCGGTGCAGTGAATGAGGAAGTGGGAAGAGAAAACACGCAACTCGAAAGACAACAAAAAAGGAAGAGTTGCCACCCACCTTAATATGCGGGAGATGAACAAGTGAATGTCTCCCCTACAGATTGCTGCTCAAGCAGATGTTTGGATGTCCTTGCGAGTGTCCAACGGAGACAGCAAGGTGGGTAGAATGGGTGAGAGAACGGAGGTCGAGCTTGGGACAAGGCGGGTTCTCGTCCAACGACCAAAGACTCGGAGACGTCTCGTCTTCACTTTCAAGCAATTTTTTGAAGGTTATTTCTCTTTTTTATAATTGCGTTCTACAGAACGAGGCAACGACTCGAAGGGCGACGATGACGGGCAGTACTTGTTATCGTATCGCTGTGTCGTCTTCGTCGGCGATCAACAAGATCGGTTGCACCCGTGGGATACGTGAGGGAGCGACGGCGTTAAGGAACGTGTTCCAGTTCTCTTAGTATGCCTGATCGCAGGACGTCGACACCGTGCGACCTGGAAACGGAGCAGACGTGGCTTCGTCCGCTCGTGGATATCTTCCTGACGCGCTTGTGAGATTAAGGGAGAGGCTGTTCAAGGGAGCGATGGCGTCCGATGAAGTTGAGAGAGCGTGAGGATATGGAAAAAGAAAAATAAGGCAAGCGAGGCCTTGGAGGATGCGGTGTGGGGCGTGACGTCGTTGGAGGGGAATAATATTAATGAGAGCGCCGAACGTTGTGGGAGGTACGCAGGGCCGCCGGTCGGGACTTCCTCGCAAGAACGAGGAAACAGCGGATGGGGGAGGGCTGGGTACTTATAATTCTCGCTCCGGAAGGCCCAGGCAGGGCTCCCAGGCAACAAGAGCGCAGCAAGAGCACCTGTGGCGTCGCTTTTGGCAACCCCAAGCTCAGCCTAGCGTGGGCACTAGCGCTGCGTGCGGCCAATCACAGCGCCGCGCCGCCGTGCTTTTATCTCCTTTGCCCACCACGGCTGGCAAGCCCCCCTGAAGTATCGCGGTAGCATGCAGCACCTCGCGGTACTTGTACCCTCTACCAAGCACACTCGGGCTGGAGCTTCCAGCGCTGTGGCACCAAGGATGGCGGAGGGTGACGAGGTGGTGACCGGGGGGCGAGCTGGCGGTCACGGCGCCGTTTGTTTGTTGCCAGGGCTTTTCTCCAGCCCGACAGTGCTTGACTTGAGCTGACTTGATCTCGACTTGCACCTTCTGCACCCTTCCTCCTCTTTCTTCCTCCTTCTGCCTGCATCTCTGCATCATCTCCAGCCGCAGCGGCACTGCGACCGTCTTTTGCTCTCTCGTCCTCCATCCTCACTGCTTCATCTGCTGCGTCGCATGCAGTCCATGGCGGCTCGCGCCCTCGACCCTCAACCATGCGTGCAGCTGCATCGCTGCTTGCTGCCGCCCGCGGAAGCAGAAGCAGAAGCAACACACGGCGTGCGATGAAAGCGAATCGACTCGGACCCGTCCAACCTGCTCCGGTCTCGTCTCTCTTGCCTCTCCAGCACCGCACAACCACGCCGCCCTCTTTTTTCTTCCTTTTTCTCACCACCAAAAAAGCAGCAGCACATCACACATTACATCGTCTCGGATGGCGAATATTGGGCCAGCTGCGGGTAACGGGGAAACTCGCTTGCCTCTGCTTTCCGTGTCCGAGGTGCTGGACGGTCAATCAGCCCCAGGCAAGTCGACGGGGCTGGCAGTGGATCCAACGGTTGGTCGCGTCGCCCATTCGCCCCCCCTTTTATGAGCGTTATCCACAAAGCACTCCCTGAAATTGCGTCTTCGCCCCCCTCTCACCCACTGAACCACATCCTCCCAGCGGCCACACCACAACAAGTTACTGCCATGGAACAACACGAGCCTCTGAAACACGCACCTTTGCCCCCCTGTGCTGGCCGTCGGGGGGGCTGGCGCTGGTTGCGCGGCCAGCAAAAGGTAAAAAGGCGTCGGTCCTCGCAAAACCAGTGACGGCATCCGTCTCAGCGTCGTCTCATGTCGGCCAGCAGCCAAACGAGCGCATGGTGCCTCTGTGACTCTGTGTCGCTGGCTGTCTGGAGGCCGATTACGAGTCGCGTCGCACCGCCGCACACAGCAGAGTTTTCCTCGTCGGCGGGTGGACAAAGTCCGCTTGGGAGGCAAAAATGGCACAAGGCGCATCCTGGCGTCAGTGAGTCATGGACTGGGAGCCAACCATGGCGCCTTGAGCCGCATCCACCAGCAATCTTGCTGCTTGCGGCCTTGTGAGTGGCTCCTGCGCCAAGTACTGGGTACACGCTCGGCTGCCCGCTTGACGCGCCTCTCTGCGTACGCAGCCCGTCTCTGCCCAATGGCGCGACGGCAGCAACTCTTGATGCATGCACGAGACGACGACCTGTTGGCTTCTTTTTTCCTCGTGCTTTATTCTCGAATTAACCGAGATAAAATCAGGGTGTTTGCCCATGCGTGTCTCAATCTTGGAGCTGAGAGATAAGGTGGCAGCCGTGTTCGCTTTGTTGGGCCCTCTGCCGGGTTCCAGCGGTTCGTGTTGCACCGGCGCAGTCGCGGAGGCTGGCGGTGCATGTATCTGCTACGTCGCCAGCTCGGCCGAAGTACCGCGTTAACAATTTTCGATCCCGGTGACACCTCTGCTCCCTAGCGCCGCATCGCTGCCAGAACTGGATACTCTGGCCGCTTTCGGGTCCAGAAAAAATTTGCTTGCTCGCCTGCTCAGGCCTTGTTGGTGTATCATCGACCTGGACAGGTTGCCCATCAGGTCAATCAATCTCAGTGTCGCGTAGAGGTGATGTTCGCCGCAGACAGGGAACTGGACAAGAGGCTCTCGTCGCTTGGAATCCTCCTGCTGCTCACCCAGAGAAGCGCTTCCTCTGGATCCTGCAGCGGAATAAGAAGAATTCCATCTTGTGTCTCACCGCGACGAGGTGCAAAGTCTAAGCGACAAGTGTCTCTCATACACTCTGTCCTTTTGTGCATCCCTGAACGGTGCAACAAAGATGCACAGCCAGCGCCTAAACAACAACAAACAGCCGACTCTCTCCCTTTTTTCTTCCTTGTCGTGACACTCTGGCCGTATGGCAAAGAGAAGTTGAAGTCTCTGGCGCGCGAGGCGTAAAAATCCCAAGGAACCCCAAACCCGTCTGGCCATGGTAAAACCTGCCCATTTCTTATCATTACACGTACCGAGGCACCAATGATGTTGGCAGCGCCACTGGCGGAACCGACCGATCGAGCAGGATTTTTCCTGCCCTGATGTTCCCCAGACTTGTTGGCCCACTGCATGAGAAGGGCTAGTCGCTGCGGAGAAGCCAAGTCGCCGGTACCTTGACACATGCTAAAAGAGAAAAAGTCGGACAAGAGAGAATCGAAAACAAGGCGAAGAGCGTGAGAGACGCCCGCTTTTTGGGCCCAGACTGAGATCAGCACTATTTTTGCATGCAGTCTAACAAGGCGGCCAATCCGTATCGGGAGGTTTTGTCTAGGCGGTGATGAGGTAAGCCGACCTTGTTTTTGTAAACTGTAAATACTCGTACACGTATGGGGTGCAAGAACTGGATGCATCAACTTCGAGAGTGGATGGATCATGGGAGGTGTGACACTTTTATGAATTGAAAAAGACACATCATCGTCTTTATATACATTATGTATGCATTTTGCGCTCTCCTGATTGATATATGACAGAGTATAAACAAGAAAACAATACAAGACGAACAACATTCAGCCCAGCCCAGCCCATCCGCTCCCTCAACCCTCCTTGATATGCACTCTCCTTGTGAGAAAAGAAGAAAACAATACTTTTTCCTTTTTTCTGCAAATTCCAGAAAACATGGCCATGACATTTCATTTACTCCGTACACAGGTATCAATACATCTTCATCACTCCTCTTCCCCATTTGCAGTGATTCACAACCTCCTGCCCTCGTCATGTCATGTAGTACTTGGGGCCTTCTCCGCCCTGCGGGACCTGCCAGTTGATGTCCTGCTGCGGAGCCTTGATATCGCACGTCTTGCAGTGAATGCAGCTAGAGTTTTCGACCAAGTCAGTCACTTATTCAATGTCGGGAAGAGAGAGAGGAGTAGGGGAGGGGGGGAGCTGTTATAACTCACTTTTGCGCGTTAATCTGGAATCGCACGCCGTGCGGCTTGGACTCGTCCTCGACGTACTCGTACACGCCCGCCGGGCAGAAGCGGTTCTCGAGCCCCTTGAACGGCGGATACGCCTTGTCCGTGTGCGCGTCCCAGTCCTTGACCTGCAGGTGCACCGGCTGGTCCTCCTCGTGGTTCGTGCCCGTCCGGGAGACGCTCGTCAGGATGTCAAACGTGATCTTGCCGTCCGGCTTGTCGTACTCAATCTTGGGGAAGCGGTCCGCCGGCTTCGTCGCCGCGTAGTCGGGCTTGCCGTGCTTGAACGTCCACGGCACCCGGCCCTTGAAGACGTACGCCTCCAGGCCCGAGTAGGCCACGCCGCCGTACACGCCCAGCGGGTTGTGCCACGAGGGGCGCATGTTGCGCACCTCCTTGAGCTCCTTCCAGATGGACGACTTGCGCAGCGCGTCCTCGTAGTCGTAGAGGAAGACGGTGCCCTCGCTGGGCTCGCGGAGCGCGTCCCACGCCGCCTCCGCCGCCAGCATGCCCGACTTCATGGCGTTGTGCGTGCCCTTGACCTTGGGCACGTTGACGAAGCCTGCCGAGTCGCCGATCAGCGCGCCGCCGGGGAAGGCCACCTTGGGTATGCTCTGGAAGCCGCCTTCGACGAGGGCGCGGGCGCCGTACGAGATGCATTTGCCGCCCTCGAGGACGTTCTTGAAGAGCGGGTGGAGCTTGAGCTTCTGGAACTCCTGGTAGGGCGACAGCCAGGGGTTCTCGTAGTCGAGCGACACGACCAGGCCCACGGTCACCAGGTTCTCGCCAAAGTGGTACATGAAGGAGCCGCCGTAGACCTCCTTCGGCAGCGGATAGCCCATGGAGTGGACAACCAGGCCCTTTTCGAACTTGGCCGGGTCAACCTCCCACACCTCCTTGACGCCCAGGCCGTACGTCTGATGCTGGCTGTCCCGCCGCAGGTCGAACTCGCTCACCACCTTCTTCGTCAAGCTGCCGTGGCAGCCCTCGCCGAACATTGTGACGCGCGCGTGGAACTCCATGCCGCGCTCAAACGAGTCCTTGGGCTTGCCGTCCCGGCCAATGCCCAGATCGTTGGTGGCAACGCCCTTGACCGAGCCGTCGGCGTTGTAGAGGACTTCGGCGGCGGCGAAGCCGGGGTACA